TAAAGGTAGGAGAAAATGCGAACAGACCCATTTTTTTTTCTTTATATTGATGGAGTGGCATGAAGGTGGCATATGCATGCTTGACTTTCTGTGAGTGCATAATGTTAAGAATCTGGGATGAAATCCTCACTCCAGAAGCAAAACTCCTAATTATCTTGTTCAAGTGTCTACTTTCAGCAAGCCATAATATATTACTTGAATAGGGCTCAGAATTGTTAGAAAAAAAAAAAAAAAGTGAACACGGTTGTTTAGAGTGATTTAAAGTGCCAAGATAACCAAATTTAAGAAGAAAATATATGGATGTAGCTGTTATCACTCTTCTCCCTTTCTCTTTTTTCATTTAAATGGTTATTTGATGAAATTTTAAACGAGACCACAATTACAGCTGCTACTGGAGCTTGTTTAAGTTGAACTTGTGCACACTGATCTTCACTTTTATTTCTTAGGAAGCAGTTCCTTTGCATCCAATATTTATATGCAGCTAGAAAAAATGTAAATCCTAAGAGGGTGTGTACAGCATAGTCAAAAAATTTTGGCACTTGTCATTTAGCATCAAGCCATGATGCTAAGCCAAATGCATGAAGGGGAAGCTCTTCCTGTCCCAAGATGGGGTGCAGCACAGACACAGGGGGATATGAGCTTCTCCAGCTGCCTTCCACTTGTGCTTCACAGCTGATCTGAAAGAACAGCATTATGTTAGTAACAGTGATGAGAATAGTAATGGTGGTGGTCAGTACTTCAATTCTCTAACTATTTAGTGCTTTGGCTGTTTCCTCAGGGCATCAAACAATGGATGATGCTTGTGAACTGTGTATTTTTTAATGTACTATGTTGAGACCACAGCCTTACTTAGGTCACTAAATGATGCCATATTTTTAGTGAGCTAGTAGTTGGGCTCTGCATGAAGCTGTAGCTGGTAATTGTTTTAATTGACTTCATTCTGATTTTAAACTCTTTGAAGATGCAATCCTCCCCCCAAAACAAAACAAAACAAACAAACAAACAAAAAACCTTACCCCCTTCTTGTCTTTGGTCTATTTGTATAGTGTCAGATCCTGAATTCTTTTAAGGTGCTAGCTTCTATGTGTTTACTGACATTAACAGTGAGTGAATTTTTGGATACTCCATTCTAGCCCAGGAATTTGTATCAATTGCAACATTTTATAAGGCTGTAGTCATATTTATGCATTTGAGCTGTCCATACCCTTCCCAGGATACTTGGGTTCAACCAGTGTTTTGGCCTGCTCTTGTTCTCAGATAAATCGCTTCATCTCTGTGTCATATGGAGGTGATGAACCTAATCTATTTCGTAAAAGGCTCTGAAAAAAAAAAAAAAAAAGCCATCTAGGAGATAGGATTTCAAGCTGCACAAGATAACACTTAAGGTTGAATTCACTGGAGAGAGGACACGTCTAATTCTTGCAGAGGTCAGCAGAGCAGGCAATGTCCAATAAAATCACAAGCTTACAGACCTGGATTTAGCTCAGGCGATAGTGATTCACAGTTTAAGGTTCCTGGCTCAGTTCATGGTGTTAGCCATGGAGATAGACATCATGCTGTTTAATAACACTACAACTGTGCTTGCTTTTGCTTGGCAAAATACAGTGCCTTGCAGACAATTTCATGTGCTCACTGTACAACCAAGTAAACAGATAAAGTGTAGGTTAAGAGTTTTTGAAATTGTATTTAAGAATGTTAGAGCATTATAGATGAAATGTAATGCTAATAGTAAGACTCATCCTATATTAATGTGCATGCTGAGATGCAGGGAAGCATTTTGTACACTAAATTGAAGAATTTGATGGATTAGCAGGAAGTGATGTTTATAGGATGCAAACAGTGTGGGATGCTATCAAGTTTTATTGTGGTGCAGTAAGAGTAACCACATTACTCCCAAGTGGCAGACTTGCATATGTGGAATAGGTTTTCCTATTGAAATAGCACTGAAAGCGTTATACCTTGTCATATGTGTCACATGTTTTGTCCCTGTCCTGCATTTGTTGTACCTCATGTTGCTGTTGGGAGCTTTTCTGAACTTCTCGTTTTGCTTTTCATGTATTATAGAAACATTATTACTGGCATGAGTATAGTTAGCGCAGGAGGAATTCAATTTATTTTAAAGTTTCTTTTGATAAAGACATTTATGTGCTGACTATTCTAATCTCATATAGTTTGAATTCAGCCCCATTTCTAGCAAAAACAATGAAGCTAAATATCTCTGAACTTTATATTTTTAAACCCCATGATGTCATTTTCAGAATTGACTTGTGTGTGTCTTCATTTTAAGAGCTTCAAAAGCCTATTGAATGACTCTTCTTGTGAAGCCAACCGAATGGGGAGTCCATGCATCACATTTACAACAGGCTCCCTTTCCCCAGTGAAGACTGTAAATGAGAGCTGTGGTATACTCCATGCAATTTAGCATTAGTACAGCCTGCATAACCCACCAGCTCAGTCCTTCTTGGGATTTTAGAACTTTTTCTTCCTGTTCAGCTACACTTTTCCAGAAAGCCAGCTGTCTTCAGCCTTCTCTGTGACCCGGGACCCTTCCCTGCAGAGAAAGCTTTGGAAAACCGAGTCTGTTATTTTCCAGCACCAGTTTTCTTCTCTGCTAACGGAACACAGAATAACAGTGCACTGGATTTCATAAACTTGATTTTGGCTGTTGGAAAACTTTCATTTTATTTTGGCTGAAACCTTCTATTTCTCCAAGTAACGAATACAAGACTTGTCCTGGGATGTCTCCCTCCCATCTCAGTAAAAGTATCTTGGGTCCGTTGTTACTCAGTGGTGTAGGAGAGGGGAAAGCTGCATACCACGATTCTCTTTCCATTACAGACTTGAAGGGTGTGATTTGTTCCCTCCTTCTCTCTTGGAAACTGAAGTGTTCATCTCGGGTTTTCATTGGGAAAAGTGTCTTATAGTAAATATCTCAGAGCTGTTTCAGCGTAAGTATTCAGACTTGGATAGGTTAAAGCTTTTTGGGTTTCTTACCCATGCTTGACATCACTTTGGCAATAAAAACATTTCAGCCAGCCTGTGAGCGAGTCTGCAGAGAATTCCTGCTGGAATGTTATGCGACTCTGCTCTCTACTCTGAGACTCTTCAAAGCAAGGTGCACATAAGGGAAAGCATACTCCGGTTTCGTTATAACTAGGTGTTTTATCTTGTATGTTAAATATGCCAGGATGGGTATTTAGCTTATATCAGGATATTCTACACCTCCTGGAACTAGATCATAAACAATTTAAAAAAGAATAAAAAAAAAGGTAGGAGTAGAAAAATAGTTAAGACTTCTCTCCTTTTATCAAATGTTGTAGTTCTTGAAGTCTGTTTCCTTAATCTAGCATGTACTACTTTCATCAAAGAATCTTGATTTGGGGGAAAAACATTACATCTAAAGGGTTAAAATACAGATAAGGAATAACAAGAAGTTCATGAATATTTAACTGAAGGATTTTGAGCCTTAGTTTTGAGACCTTTAAGGTCAGGAGCACTAACGCAGCTTAAAGTAATTCATTTCACTAAGGTAGATGGTGTATAGGCTCTAAACTCCTTACCTCTCAAATAGTTTTATAACATTATAGTCCCAATCAACAACCATTTACCAGAGATTTATGGACAACAGTTTTGAAAATAAGTCGGAAGGTGATAGACCTGGCTGTTGTGGACAAGAGAAAAGAGAAATTCCAATGACTGGTGATCCATACGTAAAACATTCTGCCAACAATCCCGATTTTAGTTGTTTAAATACAGATCAGTACTTCAGTACCACATGAATCATGGCCTCTAATAAGGACAGTTTTTTAAGCTCTGAATTAATCTCTGAAAGTTAAACTTGAGTGCAGACTTTCTCAGAACATTACAAAAACGAACATGCTTTGCAAATTGACGGTTTTACCTATAATTTTACAGCCATGCTATCTTGCCATGCATCTAAAAAGTCTGAAAGCTTAATAGCAATGGATCTGAACAATGTTGTGGAGATTTCAGAGAACACAAATGTCTTGCAAGAATACCAATTAAGTAATCTTTTTTTTTTTCCTTTGACAAGATTTAATGCAAATTTGACTCTATTTTAGTAAAATATTTTTTTAGCTGTTTGGTAAGCTAAAAGAATAAATTATTCTCCTGGGGAAAAATATTTTCTGGCCCCCTTTTCAAGAAGATGAATGGTGGTGATGTGACAGCCAGGCTGTGGCATAGAGACAATCACTGCCTGTAGTGAGTGAAATTCTTCTTAGTTTGAGCTTCCAAGGCTGTTAACTACCTGAACTTTATTACGATTGTCAAATCTGACTGCACACTGCTGGAGATCAGCAGGAAATAGGTGTCTGACTTAGGATGTTTGTGAGAGCCTGAGGTGATTTTTTTTCAGGTGCTCCAGACACCTCTGGAAGACTAGCCATTTATTGGTACAAAGTGATTAGAAACTTGTGCATCCTTCCTAAGTTGCTGAGCAATGCTGCAAAATAGGCACCATGTTTTACTCATGAGACTGCCCCATTTCCGTGGTGGGTGAAGTGATGCTTAAATAAATAGTCTGTCAATTTGTTAAGCATGAGGGATCCATAAAAATGAAAGTTGTTATTGCAGCAGGAACTTTCCCACAGCAAAAACAAAACAGAACTGAGTTTCATCCATAAAAATATTGCAAGTAAACCACTTGTTTCCTTCTTACCTCTGCTAGCTTGTTTTATATAAGCCAGCATTTGACTTCTCCTTTATGAGGAGTTAGATGAGTAGCACAGACATGTCGATCCTTGCATCTACAGAAGAATTATATGAGCTAAACACATGTTCTGCCATTGGCACATTACTGTTATCCTGCCAAAACCCTTCCCTGTGCTTGGCTTCCGTAGCAATGAGCATGGGTGGAGGAAGGAAGGAACAGCTGGGAGGCGATTATGGTTTCCTGACGCCCTGCCCCACCCATGGCACAGGTTAGATCAGTTCTGAGTCGCAGGCAGCTGGTAGAAATCCCCCAGGAGACTGTCCATTCATCCCCTGCATTATCTCCACCCAGTACCTGGCACACATCCTCGGCAGCAGGGTTTGCCAGTTCAGCGCTCCCTCCTGGGGCGCTTTCCCTCTGTGGGATGTTGCTCAGAAGAGGGGCAGAACTCCTTTCTGTTCTTTGGCATTCAGGTCAAGGTTGGTTTTTAATAGGATTTGTATGTGCAGTTTTTTTTTTTTTTTTTTTTTTTTTTTCTGGAAGCGTGGGGGGCCTCAAATGATTTATTCTAGTTATTTGAAGGATATATTCCTGGAACTGTTGCCAGCAAAAAGGTTGAGCTCCAAGAAGAGAAGAATTAAATTGTTAAAAGAACACTGTCGACCTCCCTGTCCTGTTGGAAAGCTCACCTTTCCCAACACGGATGCAGTCTTGGGCATTGAATGGGGGATACAGTTTGTGCCATTTGAAATATTTGTATTACTTGCCAATCATACATGCTGCCACAATGGTTTCAGCCAGTAACAAGGCCAAGCTCATAATCATCCTTTAACAGGCTGTAATTTATTTTAGCTGGTAACCCAGTATTTCAATACCAGCAAAGTAGTAGAATGAATTTCACAGACTAACGCTGAAACATCTTGCAGCCTAGCAGAAAGCAAAATGACTTGTGGATCAAAGGGTGACCAATGCTAAATTCAGGCCTATAAGCTGTGTTATCTGATGTGAGCCCACAAACTGAACTGTTGGCCGATACCCCTGGAAAGTAGTAGTAATAATAAACATCTGGAGGGTTTGACGTATTCATGGTTGCCAGCAAATAATCCCTAGCTCCTAAGAAATTGTTAGAGAAGCAGCTTGAGATACGGAAAAGCTAAAAAGTAACTGTCTAATGGGATGATACACTATATCCTGAGAAATCAAGACCACTTGTGTGTCAGCATGAATAATGAACACTGCTGTAGGAGAAAGGGAAATAGGCCCTGATCAGGTTGTAGCCATCAGAAGGAGGGGTCAGTCGCTTAGGGAGGGAGAGCCACAGAGAAGAACAAGCAAACGGGAGCTCATCTGTCTCTGAGAGCACCTATGAATGCAGCCCTCGGTTCCCAACAGGGACCAACAGCAAAATTGCAGGAGTGGTCTTGTGCAACCAGAAGAAGAAATGTTTGTGTTCACTTAGGATTTCATCCAAATTTGTTTGAGTTCAGCAGAATTTTTCCAGGAACTACAGAGAGCCTTGAATCTGGCCTGCAGAGATTGTCTGTTTACATCTCAGCCTGCAAACATGAGTCCACATGCCCAAAGGAGCACTTCACACCTTGATTTGTTTTAATTTGCATGTTTACTCCTAGCCATTTCTCATACAGAGATTCCTGTTGATGAATGTCCCAATTATTGGCTTTCTGCAGCTGCTGCTTACCTTGTGTGGCTGTTTTGTCTGTCGATGTATCAGGAGCGTGCCAGAAGTACTGCTGTCGTGCATTTAAATCAATGTGGACCAGTTTTCTCCTTTCCTTCCCCCCCCCTACAATCACATTTCAGGTCACTTGTGTAGATGAAATCTGTCTTGGTCTCTCTCATATGCACACTCACACATTAGTCTTGTATGTTATAACCTAATAACCCAGGCATTCATAACCCAATTGTGGCTGGTGGGCAGCCCTGCTGTGCAAAACTGACGGTGCTGCTTCCCTCCAGGTAAACCCTGTTGACAGGCAAAAGGTTACTGCTTGTAGAGGCAAGTTCATCACTCCGGTACACATAGTGCTATGGATACATCATCCGATTAGTCAAATGTCTGTGGAAAGGGTTCCTTCTCTAATGTTCCAGTTGCTCCTTGCCTGCCTTTGATATTTCTGTGGTTGCACAAGGTTTGACCATGTTAGCGTTACGCAGGCCTCTTTCATAGAGAACTCATTGTCTGCGTCCTTTCCCCAACAAAGGACTAAGGTATGGGGCTTAAACTCATGCGTGGGATGTTTTATTACTGTAATGGGAAATGCATATTTACAGCTTTTTATCTACAGTATCAACAAACTGATAAGATAGCATTTATGGAATGGAAAACCTACTGTATAAAGTACTTGGTGTTACAGGGGAGGTAGCTTAAAGGTGGAGGGCCAGTCCTTCACTTGTGTAGATCATTTTAGCCAAAAAGATTTCTAATAGTGCGTTCTAGATTAATACCTGTGCAAGAATGCATTAAATGTCATGGAAGAATAAAATGGCTTGATTATTTTCTGCACTCCCAGAAGTGTCAAAGAGAGATACCAAGCTATCTCCATTATTGCAAGCAGCAGTCAGCAGTTACAATCACACGGTGCTCTGCCTAATCTCATTTAACTTAAGTGACACATTTTGACTTTTTTCCACATATAATTTTTTTTCTTTTTTGTTTGTCTTTTTTTTTTTTCCAATTGGATTTGACTTTTATGTTACAATACTTAATAATGGAATGGTATTGATGAAATTTAATATCCATATCTCATTTAATATTATTTGTCTGTATCATGCTATAATTTGAAGGAACACTTCATATGTAATGTTTCCAGGATAGCTTTTCTGAGGAAATCTCCATACTGTAAAGGGTTTTGTTTGTTCCAAGTCAAGAGCACAAAACACATTTTGGAGCCCTGGAATTTCCCACAGGGCATAGGTGTTGTTTTCCAACCAGCTCTGGCGGTAGGCTATGAGGAACCCCTTCTGGTTGCCCAGAAAAAGTCTTGGCTCATGATCAGTTCTGAAGTTTATTCAAGGGCAAACGATGGGGTGATTTGTATGAAGCCTCATTTGGTTCATTCCCAAAAGACCAAAGTAGAAGCCAGTAAAGAGCTTGATGCTGTCTTACCCGACAGCTGTCATCTCTAACCCAGATGCTCCACATCTCTTGCCAGCTTCTTGATGGGGGAATGGGAGGAGAGGAAAGGAGGGATTAAAAATGAAATAATTTAAAAAAGAAGAAAAGGAAGGAAAATGAATTTTGTTTGTGCCAATCATGATTTGATGTGAAGTGGAACATAAATATGCACCCTTGATATCCATGTGACTCATGTATTCCTAATCTTAGGACAAACTGTGCCTGTTTTTGCATATTAGTAGCAGTGTATAATGATAATTTCCTTATAGATTTCAGTTATGGGGATCTTTCCATTTCACTGTATTTTGAGGAATTTGTGCACATAGATAAATGCACGCCTCCCATAACTCCATTAACTGAGCACAGATTAATGAACTTATCCTCATAATATTTCTCTTGGGTAGTAAAATGTTATCTCCACCTTATGGATGAAAAACAAGAGACACAAGGATTTTAAGGGCCTCAGATACAACCTATAGGCATTAGTGGGAGTCTGTTCCTTGATTTCAGTGGTCAGGGATCATGTCTTTAATGACTTTGCCAAGGGACCTGCCATGATTACCCAGTCAAACTGATGAGCCAGTCTGATTTTTATTTTATTCCAAACACTAAATGATATCCCAGTACTTAGCTTTATAAGCACAACAAAAGGTACATTTTAAACTCACAGGTTAACTCCTACTGTATTTACAAACAACAGTAACAAAGAGCAGGATGACAGCATGGACTGTTCTCTTTCAATTTTTTGTTGTTGTTGTTTTTAGTTATTATTTAGTGCCAAAAAAAAATGTTGAAATACTTTAAAAACAACTAATTTTGTTATGCTTGTTCTAAAAGTATGGATATCTGAGAACAACTCATAGTTAAGTTTAAAAAAAAAAAATAGTTCTATTCTGCCTTTTTCTTCTGAATACACTGAACTTCATGATAGCTGTGAAAAAGTAAATACTTGGTCAAGGCATGTATGTGAACATTATGTGAGAAGATTATTTTCCCCTTCCAGCATTGGAAACTTAAATTACTTTATGAAATGTGCTGCTGGTGCTGCTTCCATTCAAGTCCATAACAGAAGTCTGAAATAAGTTCCTTGATGAAAGTTCAGGCAGTCTTAATTTCTGTATTGGTGAGTTTTACTGTGTTTAGTTCATTGTCAGGAAAGAATCATAATGCAAACATCAAATGATGTTATTCATGTTATATTCTTGAACATACCTCTAGAATTAAAGCTAGATTTGGAACAATTAAAAAAGCTTGACAAAAGCTTCATCAAGCTTGATAAGCTTGACAAAAACATTATTTATCTGTTCCAGTATATTGCGCCTACAGTGTTTGTTTAGGTAACCATGACATAAAACTACATTTCTGTGCAACTTTTTGCATGAATTTCAACCTTCCATTTGTATGTATTCATTAAAAAAAAAAAAAAAATCCTCTTTTGCATTGCAACTTTGTAGCATGTGTTTAATATTACGGACTTGACCAAAAAGAAAGAATTGTGTACATCTGCTTGATATGAAATAGGGTAGGTGATCACTTTTAAAATGCTGACCTCACAGCATCTAAGCCGTACATTTCAGAAGAGTGATGTAACTGCTTAAGAGTGGGCTGGAATGAAGTAATAGTGACTAAGTGGCATTGTCAGCATTAACCAGTTTTCTTCTTTCATATTATAGATGCCTGGGAAGTGGTGTAAATGTGGTTCTGACTGTGACTAATGGTCACTGTCTCTATGGGGTGCAAAATGAAGTGCTATACAGCTTTTGTAGAGTTGCAGCATGATCTCTTGGCAAAGACCATGAAGGAAGTCCATTCAGAGAAAAAAGATACAAAGAAAAGAAATGCCTATGATGTCTTAATTAAGAACTTAAGTTAGCGACTTCCCTTTAGAAGATGACTATCCCATATTTATTTCTCTATTGATAAAGAGAAATAATTTCTTTATTCACCGTGTAGAGATGTACTCTCCCCTTGGGAAAGTGGCAGGAAATACTCAGATGTCACTGAGGACAGTTGTCCTGTGCCCTCCCAGCAGGAGGCAAGGACACCTGCTGCAAAGCAGTTCTGTAACTATTTTTTTCCTGAGAATGACAGAGTATTTGATTTGTCAACACTCTTCCTATCTGTTGATCGAAAGGAAAATAGCTCTTTGTGGATACATTGCTGGATGTGGTTGTTGGCTGGGCACTGAGTTCTTTGGTAATCTTTGTTATGTTATTCCTCTCTGGTTTTTGAGTACCTATCTATATTTTGTCTTCTCTTATCTCTTGCATGTCTTGTCCTCTTAGACAAGCTTGCTTAAGAAGGAACAGCCCTTTTCATCTCTTTATAAAATATGAATTTCAG